TGTTTGTGTATATATATGTGTGTGTGTGTGTGTGTGTATATATATATATATATATATATAAATAACATTTCTGTCCCCCTCACTTCTGAAATGATGGCTACGCCCCTGTATTTAGTATACACAGTGTAGTTTTACCGAGCAAACTGCAGAAACGGCGAGAAAGACCGTGGCAGCTGCAAAAAGCGACTAGTGGCAGCTGGGGATGCCACCGGAAGTGGCGCTGCGACCTGCCGCTGCCAGGATTTGCGCTTGCTCTCTCTCCTTTTCTCTGCGCTTACAATTTTGGCATATATATATGTGTGTGTGTGTGTGTATATATATATATGTGTGTGTGTGTGTGTGTATATATGTCTGTGTGTGTGTGTGTGTGTATATATATATGTGTGTGTGTGTGTGTGTATATATATATGTGTGTGTGTGTGTGTGTATATATATATGTGTGTGTGTGTGTGTGTATATATATATGTGTGTGTGTGTGTGTGTATATATATATGTGTGTGTGTGTGTGTGTATATATATATGTGTGTGTGTGTGTGTGTATATATATATATATATATATATAAATAACATTTCTGTCCCCCTCACTTCTGAAATGATGGCTACGCCCCTGTATTTAGTATACACAGTGTAGTTTTACCGAGCAAACTGCAGAAACGGCGAGAAAGACCGTGGCAGCTGCAAAAAGCGACTAGTGGCAGCTGGGGATGCCACCGGAAGTGGCGCTGCGACCTGCCGCTGCCAGGATTTGCGCTTGCTCTCTCTCCTTTTCTCTGCGCTTACAATTTTGGCACGATTCTCACTAACTGAGTTTTGCCAGCGTGAGGGGGAGGGCGGGGCCACCTTCTTCTTGTAGCCAATCAAATGAGCCTCTCGCTGACTCTCCAGTTACTCTTATCTGATTGGTTCAATAAACACATAATATGCCAAAACATTAATCTTCATTTAGTTCAGGATCGTTCTTACTGCCGGAATGGTACTTTTAACGTACACATACAGTAAAAAAAAAGAAATAAAAAAATAACAATTTAATTAAAACATGATATTTTATAAGTTGTGTACCACAAACACATAATATGCCAAAACATTAATCTTCATTTAGTTCAGGATGGTTCTTACTGCCGGAATGGTACTTTTAACGTACACATACAGTAAAAAAAAAGAAATAAAAAAATAACAATTTAATTAAAACATGATATTTTATAAGTTGTGTACCACTAGGCAATGTGTTCATACTGAATTTCGAGCTGTGTAGTTTCCTTCTCTTCCTCAACAGGCTATATGATATATTAGTTTATTGTAATTTTGATGATACTTAAAGAAGGTCTAGTATCTGCACTAGCCTAATACATGCATAATTTCACCTGTCTACTGATCCATTTTTTAAACACAAATTTGGTTCAAACAGTAATAATTTTTTATTTAACATGTTGTAATTTAAGGGGATTTTTACAAAATATTACTAAAATATTTATTCAAATATTTATCTCTAACTTATTCACCATTTATCTTCTGTAATACTATCGTGTAACCACTAGATGGCTGTTTAGCTCTCTCTATATAAACATATAAACATGACTGTGTTCCCTATAGTGGCTGGGAACTTTGGATTCCCACATAATCAGTTACTGGTATTTGGATATATATTTAGACATTATCAAAGTTTTTGCATTAGTCAAATCTGGACACAAAGAAAGCATTTTGTTACTCCTTCTTGCTTCATATAATAGCTTGATCAGTCACATGAAAGTAATCGGTGTTAAATACCATAAACAGAAACATGGTCTGAAAAATTGACAAATTCAAATTTAAGTAGCTTTATTGGCATAGTAAAAAAGGTTCAGAGTATTATGATTTAATATTGATCAATATGTTTATTTAATAAAGAATCATTATTCACGTAGATACCATAACACATTAAGATATTAGATTCAGAAACTCAGTGTAAAGCATAAAATAATGTTTTTACTGATGGGACATGTGGTAATTAGATATAAGATTATGAAAATATACTTTTTGTTTATTGAGAATATGAAAGAGCTGTCACAGCAGAGCTTGTCTTGTGTGTAAAGTCCTGTGATGGCTCGCATTCAAGTGATGACAGTGTGATAACATGCATACATTGGAGACCGTGTACATTTCATTTAATTAGTGTTTGTCAATGCTGCAGATACTATTTATTTCAGAATTGTGAGGCTGATGATGTATAAGTAGCTGCTGAGACTGTTCCTACTTCATCACCTACCACAAGTTATGAGCTGATGTGAATCTAGAAGTTTCATTTGGAACTGTAACTCTTTCAAAACA